CCCCGCCCCGCCCCGCCACACCCCACCCCGCCCGGAATGAGAGCAGCCGAGTGCATGGCGGCGCGGGACTAAGACACGCGTGCAGGGCATCCAGTTGGGGCCAGATGACTGCCATTGTCCTGCCCACGGCCAAAGCAGACGACAAATTTCTCTCTACCCTTCCGCGCAAAGAGGACAGAAACAAGCTATGCACAAGTGAAAAATGCCAAAAACTAAACGAGTCGTGCTTTTAGTACCCTTTATCGGGTACGTGTGATATGTGGTCGCCGTCGGCTTTCCACAAAAGGTGGCGTTTGACCGAGCTTATCCGCGGATCCGCAGGGTACTTACTTCACAATAAATTCAAGCGTACACCGATTTATCTGTTGCCTCCCGACTTTTCCCTGACTTCAATTTTTTTTTCTTAAATTTTGAAGTTGTTTTTTGAAATTATAAAAAAAAAATTGATTAAAAAAAATCTAATTTTTTCTTAAATTTTAAACGGCTTTTCCTTGATATTTTCTGAATTTTTGATCGACTTGTTCTCGATCTTTTCTGGTTTTTACTGACTTTTTGGAGTGAAGTACCCTTTTTGGCATTATCTCATTAAGCGACATGTATCCTGAAATGTTCTGTACAAAGCCGCGCAGCCTTACCTCGGGTAGTTGGTGCAGTACTCGGTGTAGATGGAGAAGCCAGTGTCGTTGCGCACGAAGCAGCGCGCCACCTGCACGGGGTCCAGGTCGCACTGCTCCAGCTGGCGCAGGAAGTGCAGGTTGAAGCGGTAGATGTCCTCGATGTTGCCGAACAGCGCCTCCAGCTGGGACGACCCCAGCGGGCAGTCGACGCGCCCGCGCCACACGGTGAGGTAGCCCTGTGGAAGAGATGAAAGCGTCAGTGGCTGACTCGAGAGTGGCCTAGAACAGGCATATCATAATAAATCCTCCGGAATCCGTGTACTATATCCTCCCACATTGTCCCCCGAGCCCCTGCCGACCGAGGGATAGGCCACCAGCCCACAGCGGTGCGCTGCGTGTGAAACATTGCCTACCCGCCAGGCGCTCCGGCCGAGGAAGACATCACAGGAAGTACAATAAGGCAGGAGGACTTATATTGCCTTTGGCACAGGCATTAAAACCCGTTCCACCCGACCTTTCTTTTTCAAGTGATCATGCTCTCCAATGTAGAGCGACACATTTTCAGAAGGACAAGATCTTCTTCGCTGCGCGAAAGGGGAGACGGAGACCCAACAGCACCGACACACAAACACACAAAGTTTTTTACTCTCTCTCTCTCTCTCTCTCTCTCTCTCTCTCTCTCTCTCAAATCGAGTTGTGAGGACCGCCACCCGGACCAGCACCGCTACCATGCGGGTCGACGGCTTGTAGTCTCCGCCGGGACCGGCTGGTCTCGAGGAGTGCAGTGTCCAGGCGGCGGGGCGTGGCGGGGCGTGGCGGGGCGTGGCGGGTGGGGCGTCCCACGCGGACCCACAACACAGTGCCCCGCCCAGCAGGCCGCCACGCCCGCCCACCCCGCGCTCCGCCACTCCCCTCCCGTCGATATATAAGGCACTGGGTCATACTGCGGCCCGTCCACCTTAGGGAGCAGAGCAGCTGCAGCACCTGGGGGCCGAGGGGCCGAGCATCTGCAGCTGCAGATGGCATCGCGGGAGGGGTGGCCACTGGGCCCAGGGCATCACTATGGGCGCCACCAAGGGCCCCACCAAGACCAAGGGCTCCACCAAGCGCCCCACCAAGGGCCCCACCAAGGGCCCCACCAAGGGCCCCACCAAGGGCCCCACCAAGGGCCCCACCAAGGGCCCCACCAAGGAAGGGTTCGTATAGTTTTCCAGGAAAAATAAAATAGGTGGAAAAAAATCCGACCGGGCGAACCCTACACCAAGGGCTCCACTAAGGGCAGCAGCAAGGGCCCCACCACCAAGGGCAGCAGGCCGCACAAAGGGCCACATCAAGTGCCAAACCAAGGGCCCCGAGAAGGGCCCCACAAAGCGCTCCGGCCGTCCTCCGCCCATAGGGCCTCACCAAGGGCCCAGCACACCCAACAACGCCGCGCCCACGGGAACTCGTAAAGCCAACGACGTTGATTCGCTTTCGGATCCGAGACTAGTTAAGGGTCCGGCACGGACGGACGTAGCGAGCGTAGCGCACGCATCGTGTGCTGAGTGTGCCCCCCCCCCCACACACACACACGGTCACACGAATAACTCGCACTCTACTACTACTGAGGTGACAATTAAACGGCTCGAGCATTGACAGGGACTAATGGCGGCGACAATTGAAGGCAATCAAAGAGTCGTCGCGGCACCCACCACCCACCCACCACCCCTCCCGGGTGATCCGGGGCCAGCGGACCGCACGAGGGGTACATCACGTGAGCATGGCAGCGCGTGCGATGAAAAACAGCGTAAAAAGAGTAAGGAGCAAACACAGGTTGAAATGTGTTTGCAAATTATATGAACTAAGTCATATGATTGCAATGAAAAATTAAAATTCGACACGGCTTACAGGAGAGCAAAAGTTAATGCCGAGAAAAGGTGCGGCATAATATGTTGCCCACAGAGCCTGGTGGATGTACCCGTGCCGGAGGGTGTAATACCGTCTCGCATCTGAGGCACCCAATTGAGCAATTCCTGTCCTCTCAAGTCGCTCGTCGCGTCGCTGCGCCGCGGTGCGACGTGCAGTTACGCCCGGAACTAGCTCGGCGCTGCGCGTCGGCGCGTGCCCCGCCCCGCGCACACGGACGTGCCCTCGCACTCCGCTGCACCCCGGGGCGGTGGGTCGCAGGTCCAGTACCTCACCGCGCTGCAAGGCCAGAGAGAGAGAGAGGGGGCTTCACACGCATTCCTGCCTGCGCCGGTTATGCACACCGTTATGTACCTACTACACGCCGCATTCAGCGACAGGCAGCTGCAAATGCATATACACCGCACACATCTTGGACTCTGTTAAGATACATATCCTATTTTTGTCGTAATTGTTTCGCAAAGCGTTTAAAACTTTTGAAATAATTTTTTGTTATTTTGTTT